CTGGGGTCGCTGGGACGCGGGGGTGACTGCTGGGGTCAGGGGGACCCCCTGCTTGGGTGGGTACTGGGGTCACTGGGAGCAGTGGGGGGGTACTGGGGTGACTGGGACCTCCTCTTGAGTAGGGACTGGGGTGACTGGGGCCATTATGGGCAGTACTGGTGTTACTGGGAGGAGTGGAGGGGAGCGTGGGGGTCACTGGGACTCTGGGGGGACCACCCCTTGGGTGGATACTGGGGTCAATGGGAGCAGTGAGGGGGTACTGGGGTGACTAGGACCTCCTCTTGAGTAGGGACTGGGGTGACTGGGGCCATTATGGGCAGTACTGGCATCACTAGGACCAGTATGGGCAGTACCGGGGTCACTGGGAGCAGTGGGGGGGTACTGGGGTGACTGGGACCTCCTCTTGAGTAGGCACTGGGGTCACTGGAACCAGTATGGGCAGTACTGGGATCAGTGGGAGCAGCGTGGGGGCCTTCAGGGCCATTGGGACCCCAAGGGTGGGCCTTGGGACCACTGGGAGCAGCCGTGGAGTACTGGGGTTGCTGGGAGCAGTGGAGGTTAACTGGAGTCCCTGGGATAGCCCTGAGGTGGGCACGGGGGCTACTGGGAGCAATGGGAGGATGCTGGGAGCAGTGAGGGCACACTGGGGCCACTGGACACCCCCGAGGTCCCTCCCGGGGCTCCCCGCCCTGGACGCCGGGGCGGGCACTGGGGGCACCCACAGGGGGTCGGTTGCAGTGGACCCCACCGCACTCGTGTCGTTGCCCCTTTAAGGCGCTGCCCTCCCCACAACGCTTCCTTGTCCCCTCGCCGATTGCTGATTGGCCGGGCAGCCTGCCGCGCGCAGCGAACTCCACGGGCGCGCACGCGCCGCGCCGGCCGGCCCCGCCCCCTCCTCCCCTCATCCTTCTCTCCGCCGCTTACTTCTGACGAAAACCGTCCCAGCCAATCCGCGTTAGGCTGCGCCCTCCACGGTTCGGCGCCAGCGGCCAATCGGAAGCGCCGAGGAGGGCTTCTAGTTTGCATAATAATAGAGGGGCGTGGCCAGGC